ACCATTCCCTGCCCTGGCTCCAACCACAAACAAGGCAGCAGCTGCTGGACCCAACTGCCTCAACGCAGTCCTTTTACCCCAGGGAGGAAGATGCCATGGGACGCTGCAGGGTAGAAGTACCACCACTGTCCCTCCTGCCCCAGGACCCTGTCCCAGAGCTCAGTGTCACACATCCCAGCTCTTTGCATAGCCAGCGGTGACCCACAGGCTGAGTGATCCCAGGGAGATCATGGGACAACTCTCAGTGTTTCCACAGGAGGACAAACATTCCCACAAAACTTCCCAGGGAAAGCAAAGCTTCAGGGCAGTGAGGTGTGGAGGAGGTAGGAGGATGTCTCTCTGCATCACCCTAGGGCAGGTCCAAAGCCTCTGCCGCCACCCTGGGGCTCTGCCCTGACCCCCTGCCGCCACCCCCCGACACTGTCACCACCACCCCTAGGGTCCTGTCATCGCCCCGGGGGCTCTGCCCTGACCCCCACACCCTGCCACCGCCCCCCAGACCCTGCCACCACCACCCCTGGGGCTCTGCCCTGACCCCCAGACCCTGCCACCACCACCCCTGGGGCTGTGTCATTACCCCTGGAGCTCTGCCCTGACCCCTGCCACTGCCCCCCAGACACCGCCACCACCACCCCTAGGGTGCTGCCATCGCCCCTGGGGCTCTGCCCTGACCCCCAGACCCTGCCACCACCCCTCAGACACTGCCACCACCCCTCAGACACTGCCATCGCCCCGTTCCCCTGCACAGGACAGGAGGGTGCTGGGCCAGTGGCCCCTACCTGGTGGCAATGAGGGGGTAGCTGTGCGCAGGCTTGCCCAGGGCATCCCGGCTCTGCGGCAGGCTGCCGTACAGCAGCAGCTCCTTCTCCGTGAGGACAGCCAAGAGGTTCCTGGTGCCGGCACTGGGGAGCTGCAAGGGGACTGGGTCAGGGCCACAGGCAGCGCAGTGGCATGGGGTGGCGGGGGACGTGCGGATACCTGCTCGGTCAGCCAGCCCACGTGCTTGACATCCCGTCCAGCCACCACACCAGCACCCGCCAGCTGGGCTCGCAGCTCCTCCTTCACCCGCGGCAGCAGGGCACCCGTGTTGGCCTGGATGGCACTGAGCCACGACTGCGCCGTGGCTTCGTCCTTCGCCCGCAGGAAGAGGGCAACGCGCCCGTCCGCCGAGCACACCTCCAGGTACCTGCAGGGACACGGCCCCGCTGGGTCCCCGACAGCCCTCAGCACCCCGGGGCAACGCGGTGGCATCGCCATCCCCCGGCACCATGCCCTGACCTGTGCTCCGGGTCGGTGGGAAGGCACTTGCGGGACACGTAGCACATCTTCAGAGGCACGGTCCTGCTCTCCCGGAGCTCCCGAGGGGGTAGGAGGGGGGATGACCGCTTCTGCAGGGTGGCAGGTGAGGGGTCCCAGCTGACTGTTGCCCCCACAGAGGAGTTCTTGAAGTAGGGTGAGATCTCCTTCATGTACTTCACTGGAAGAGAGGCAGCACCCAGCTGAGGCCATGGCACAGGCCAGGGCGGCCTCATCCTTCATGACAGCACCCATCCACCCTGCTGAAACCCCTTGTACCCTCACTGCATTGGAGCCTCCATTGGTGCTGCCTCTGTTACCTCCCCAGAGGTGCCACCCATAGGTGCTGTGGGTCCTCTATCCTGCACCCCTGTGGGTGTCCGAGGGGATGGCACTGGTGGGCGAGGTTGTACCAGAGGGTGACATGACACCTAGGATCCTCCCAGTGCCTCTGCCCCACCATCACAGCCCAGGGAGCCTCCCAGGAGGGATGAAAATGGCCTTTTCCCCCTTTTGTCTTTCCTTTAACCCAGATCAGCTCAGAGATCCAAGTGTGATCAGGTCCCCGGGGCAGCACATGAAGGCAGGGGTGGGGAATGGGCAGGAGTCCCAGGCCAAAATTACAGTCCAAACTGTGCTGGTACAGCAGGTCCCACTGCCAACTGGGAGCAACAGCTCTCAAATACCATGGCTTGGCCCCAGGAAAAGCCTCAAACTGCGTGCTCACAGCTCACATAGCCCTGCCCCATGCGTTATAAACCAGGGACAAGGAATCAGCTACCAGCCCCCAGCAAGTCCAGCTGCAGAGCCGGAGCCCTCAGAGCCACACTGGGACAGCAGCCGGTTCCCGGGGGTTAGGGGAAGAGGGAGATGAAAGTCACTGTGAATTGATGGGGCCCCATAGCTACATCCTGAAAATTACGATGGCAGCACTGGGCAAAAAGCTTTGGCTGAGCAGGGGGGACACCAGTCACGGTCCTGCCCTGGGGACAGCGTGGGACCAGCTGGTGGCTCCAAGAAAGGGCTTCCCTTTGGTGGCCCTTAGGGAAAACATCATGGGACAGACACGTGCCCGTTGCCACGTCCCCAGCCATCACCGCTGGTTTCACTCCAGGTCCAAGTCAGCACTGTGGGTAGCAGGAGGGGGGACAGACACGAGCTTGGCTTTGCAGCCAACTCTTGTAGGTGGCTGGTTGGTGGACCAGCTCCATTGCTGCAGCAAAGCCGCGACAGCCTCATTTTGTGCCAGAAAAATGCCCTTTTCCCATGCAGAGCCTACATCCCCATCCTTCACCCGCCCACCACCACCCATCTTCCCTGTCGTTCCTACCCCTGTGAGCTCCCCAAACCCTCTAAATCCCTAGAGCCCAGCAGGACTGCGGCGGGGCACGGCGGGGAGGCAGAGCCCCGCAGCGTGCCCCGCTCTGCCCGGCCCCAGCGGGACGCAGCTATAAATGGCTGAGTTGCCGCTGCGGCACATGGGTCGGGTTACCCCACAGCGGCCCCGCAGCACGGCTGGGGCCAAGGAGCCGGCGTGGGGCCACCAGCCTCGTGCCCTGCACCTCCCATTATAAATAGCTGCCGTGTTCCCACAGGCATCTGAGCCAGGCTGGATTTTACCCCGAGTCATTAATCTTGGCAGTGGGGACCGGCCATTATCCCGGTGCCTGGGAACTAATTGGAGTTCAGAAAGATATCATTCAGCCGTTGAAACCCGAGCAGCATCCCTGCGCCAGCCCATGGCTCCCCGGGCATGCGGAGGACGTCACTGGCATTAGCTGTGCGATGGTGGGGTCACGTCCCGATGGCGCAGAGGAGAGGAGCAGTGCCCGGCCCAAGACAGGCCATGGAGAATTAGGCAATGGCCAGTGCGTGTGCCTCTCTGGCACATGGCTTTGAGGAGGATTTAAGGCTGGTTACAACGCACTGATGGGTTCCCGCAGCACGGGACAGCGATGTGATGGGGGCTGCAGTGATTCCCCAGGGAGCTGCGCCATGACCTCTGCCATGAGAGCTGCTGTCCCTCCAATGACAGCAGCAGGCTGCATGTCAGAGACACACGGCACGACCAGGGGACACGGTGTGACAGTGCTATCCCCAGCCCACTCTGCAGCAGTGGCTGCTGCACCTCTGCCCGTTCCTTGCTGAGCAAAGAACAAAGCCATGGAGGTTCCCCAGCACAAGATTTATAGCAGGTTGACTTAAGACTGCTGCCAGTCCCTTCAGTGCAACAGAATTGCCTGGTACTGAATGGATTAATTAATTACACCCACCTCATTAAAGCAAACAACTCAGACCATTTTCTTCTCAGCACTCACCACACCACCAAATCCCTTGGGTTTACTTCTTGGGTAACAGATCCTCGCCCTCCACCAGCCTATCCCTCCTAAGCCTGTACCAAACACTCCTGCATCCTCGATCCTGAGTCACCACAATCTGTCCCACACATCTGCCCATGGCTCAGCACCACCCCAAGCCAAGCTCCTGACCCCAGAGAGCTTCACCAAGGGGTCACAAACCTTCGTCCAGCCGTAAAAACAGCCCAACCACACGGACACCCAGCAGCAGGCTCAAGAGCACCCACGTGCTGCTCGGGCCTCCAGCCCAGTGCTGGCACGCTCTGCTTCAGCCCAGAGATCACGGCATGGATTCAACAGAGAGAGGTTTAAGACTGCACTGCCAGTTAGGACTAGGACAGGCTTTTCCTATGAAGAGCTTTTCAGCAGCATCTACACAGCATGGAGAGTCAAAGAGGTCCAACTGTGCTGGTGGCCGTCACATCAGGAAGGCTTCCAGAGAGGTCCTGGAGATCCAGCACTGGCCCTAAGGAGATGTTAGAGCCCACCTCCAGCTGATCTCTCTCTGCCTTAGGACTAACTATGCAAAATTAACATGTTAAATCAGGGCAGGGGGATGGCCAGCAAACACACATCCTGAAGAGACACCCTGAAACAACCTGTAAACTTCAAGCTGACACTGTGGTGTACTTCAAAAACTCAACGCAGGGGCTGCCATAGCTGCCCCATGCAGCTTCCCACCCAGGGACCATTCCCTGCCCTGGCTCCAACCACAAACAAGGCAGCAGCTGCTGGACCCAACTGCCTCAACGCAGTCCTTTTACCCCAGGGAGGAAGATGCCATGGGACGCTGCAGGGTAGAAGTACCACCACTGTCCCTCCTGCCCCAGGACCCTGTCCCAGAGCTCAGTGTCACACATCCCAGCTCTTTGCATAGCCAGCGGTGACCCACAGGCTGAGTGATCCCAGGGAGATCATGGGACAACTCTCAGTGTTTCCACAGGAGGACAAACATTCCCACAAAACTTCCCAGGGAAAGCAAAGCTTCAGGGCAGTGAGGTGTGGAGGAGGTAGGAGGATGTCTCTCTGCATCACCCTAGGGCAGGTCCAAAGCCTCTGTGTCTGCTTTGGTTCAATTATGACATTTAAACCACGAGAGCTGGGCAAAGCACAGCTGTTCAGACCCTTGAGGACCATCACACCTGCCAGAAGACATACACTTTAGTGTCCCACAAAGGCTGGAGGCCACCTCAGGGCTTTTCTCTCCCGAAGCCCTTCTGAGCCCTGAAGGGCAGCAGCGATGGGGAACCACGCAACTCCTGGCTGCCACCACCTGCCTCCACTCAAAACCCCCTTCCACTCTGCACTGTGTGTTATTTACCTCAGGGTCACCTAAATTTTGTGGGTATTGCACATTGCACACCATGCACATCACCTTCTGTAAGTGCCTAGGTTTCCCATGGTTAGGCAATCAGCCCGCTGGAGCTGAACATCCTCAGCACCATGTTCTCCTGGCACCCCTTAGCTTTTCTGATTTTCAAGCTTCCAAGCTATTATTTGGCTGAGCGAGTCCTGAAGAGCTGCAACAGCCCCAGGAGCTCCCCAGCAGCCAACAAGCCCTAGGCTGCCACAGAGGCAAGATGCCCGCGGCTGCCCCACCTCCTCCTCCCCACTGCTCCCAGTTCTCTCCTTGTGCCAATACAGCACAGGAGCCTTGCCAGAAAAACCACTCCTGGCATCAAAGCCCTTCCCAGGGCAGCTGGAAGGATGTTTATCAGCCATTTCTCTGCCATGGAGGGTCTCTGGATATCAAGCAATGCAAAAAAAAAAAAAAAGAACAAGAGAAAAATAAGGTAAGGGAGAGCAACTCTCCCCAAAATAACAATGTAATATAAATACAGTCAAACTCCTCCTGCAAATATCAAGAGAGTAGTTTGGCACATCAAAAAAAATTCTTGGCAGGACACATGGAGAGGTATCTGCATGTCCTCATGCCCGGCCAGCAACGACACCCAGGAGCCAGAAGCCAAGCTGAGCAGCCCAGGGTGAGATCTGGCATGTGGACCCACAGCTGATATTCAAATTAGAATACTTCACCTCCCAGCTTTGCCACAGAGTCTCACCCCAGCTCACTGCCTCATGAGGAGGTACAAGCTCTCCCAGTTTTGCTACCTACTGTGACACTGCTTGTAAACTGCCCTAAAAACTCCTAAACCCAGGAATGAATGCAGCCAGGAGGAGCACGGCAGCAAACAGACATCAACTGTGCCAAATTACTCAGGTTTGGTACTTACAGCAACTGTAAGGGAAGTCGGAGTCACACCTGGCAGCACACAGGGACCAGGAAGAGCCTAAGTGATCTTAAGGTGCTTTTCTCCAACCTCTGGAGCGAGCCCAAACAGGAGAGGGGGGCAGTGCCTTAAGTCCACCCGCTGTCCCCCAGCCCTGCCACCCCTCCCCGGGGCAGGGTGCTTGGCCAGCCGGCTCCTGGAGAGCTACCAGGGTGCCAGGTATAAAAGAGGCAGAGGACAACCTGTCCCAAGGCACGGCCACCACCTCCACAGGGCAGTGACAGCCTGGCGGGGACCACACCGCAGCGCCAGCCCTGCCACCCTCCACGGGCAGGGCTGCACCATGCTGGCAAACCCAAAATGGGGAGGTAGAGATGCATCATGTGTATACCTGATGTCTGCGATCGGATGAGCAGCGGAGATCTGGCCCAGCTCCAGCTGTTGCCTGCAGCACCCCTGAGCAACACCACACCACGGGAGCCCAATGGCACCAGCTACAAACTAATCACAAAGCCTCCAGAGTGTTGTGGTGGGAGCCAGCCCAGACCCGCTCTCCTCCCAAGGGTACCTGCTGGGAGTTTTAATCGATTAAGAAGTCCAGGAGGTTATACCTGAGCTCAGGGAGCCACAGCAAAGGCCCTGCCTGCAGTTGCTTCCTGGGCGGGCAACCTGGCAGTGCCCGGCTCCACAGGGGGACAGAGGAGGAAGAGGAAGAGGAAGAGGTGGTCCAGGGAGAGTAGTTCTCTGCAGAAAGAGCAGCTCATCTCCGACTCCCACAGGAACCTCTAGCAGAAAGGAAACCCACGCCAAAGTAAAGGATGAAAAGAAAATAAGAGAGAGGGTGGTCCGAGAACAGCAGCTACAGGGAGGAATTTCACAGACTCCCAGAGAAAGAGGCTCTTGTATTTCTCTATGGTCAAAAAAAAAACCAACAAACCACCCCACCAACAACCCTATCTGCTCCCAGCAGCTGTGCAGAGCCGCACATTCCTCCGGCTGAACCATGGTCCTGCGGCTCCCAGGAGAGGAGGAACCCACAGCAGAAAGGGCTGAGCAAAGCTAAAAATGAAAATCTGGAGCTGAGACAATCTGGGGAAGGCACAGAAAAGCAAGAGCCACAGTGGTTGCTGGCAGCAGAAGACACAGACCTCTTTTTTGTCCAGGCAGAGCAATGCTTCCAAATAAAATCTCCCTTTGGGATCTACAGCCCTACGACTGCACCGGGAAGGGTCTCTGGTGCCAAGACCCTCCTGGTTAGACAGGGTGACCCGGGGGGACAGTGAGGGGAGGGGAAGGGTCCTGTCCTGAGGACAAATCCTGGGTGCTCACCCCTGCCCAGCCGAGCTGGCAGAGGGTGGGGTGGGCAAGCACAGATAGATGGTGATGTGAAGGGTAACAGGAGAAGAATGGGGTCTCTCCCTCAGGTCTCCCACGGTCCCAATCCACCAGCCCTCACCCACTCCCCCGGTGGGGTTCAGGGGCTCCTGCAGGTCTGGGAGACACCAAGGACCAGCTGCCCAGCACCAAGCAGGCCTGGCTCCAGTCTCACCTGGGATGGTGAAGGCTGCATCCCTGTGATGTCTGTCCCAATCTGGGGGGGCTGCAGTTGGGGTTGAGCTGCCAGGGATCCCCTGGGCAGGCAGCTCCTGTGGCCTCGCTCCTGAGCTGGCCCTGCCTGCACCCAGCAGCCTGCTCCTTCCATACGCCCAGAATCCACCCCATCAAACTAAAAGGTGATTGGCAAGGAGTGGGGTGCCAGCGTACCCCCTCCCCGCTGGTGTAAGCCTGCAGAGCCCAACCAGCCAAGGATCTGGATTTAAATGAAAATCATGGGAAAAGCGGAAAAAGTTTTCTATGACCCCAGGAACTGCAGACCTCAGGGTGACACAGTACAACAGAAGAGTTGCAAACCCCATAAACCCATCCCACACTCCCATCGCTGCCTGCCTGCGGTCTCGCAGCGAGGAGATGGAGCCGCTGGGCATCGAGCGGTGGCACACGCACGTCTCCCTCTCTGGAGGGAGGTAGGGAGATCCCAGCAGTTACCTCCAGCTCTCAGGATAAGCAAATAAACCAGTCTGTACATGTTGTTTTCCATTTCAAAGAGCATGTAAATGCATATGCAGATGATGTTTCATCCCTGTGCTCCCAGTACATCCTGGGAAAAACAGGGATCAGCCCCCTAGAAGCAAGAGGACCCTTGTCCACCCTCCCCTCCTACCTTCCAAGACCACCTCCTTGCCCGTCTTCTTCAACGCCTGCACCGCTTCATCATGCGTTGCCTCGGAAAGGTCGGTCCCGTTGACAGAGAGGATGGCATCCCCCACGTACAGCGCCTCGGTCTGATCTGCTGCCAGCCCCTTAAATATCTTGGAGATCAAGATGGGCATTTTATTCTCTCGGCCACCTTGAAACAGAAAAGAAACGAAGCGGTTGTGGCTGTTGGAGCACACAGAGGAGCGAGTGGAGAGAGGGATGCTCGGGTACCTGCTGGCCCCAGTGCCGTGCCGGGACAGCCCACTGCCCCATTTCCTCGAGTGCCCACAGCACACCTGTAACAACCACAGCAGCCAAAATACCATCAGGCTCTATAGCAGACAAAGATGACTGCTCCAAAACTGCTCTGAATGGTTGCACATTTCCTCACAGTAACCTGGCCATCTCCCCATCAATTCTGGCAGGAAAGCACGTCTTTATTTGCATTATTAATTGTGTGTGCTGAGCAACTATCCCTGCTCTAAGGACTTCATGACCTAAACTGATAAGAGTGCTAAATGCTTCTGAAGAGGCAAAAGAGCCAGGAAGAGATGAACCACCCTGGCTGTTTGCTCCTCTCCACACAGTAGCCCTATTTACCTGCTGCTCCCCATTCTCCTGTCTAAAAGGATGCTATTGAAACCTCCCGGCAGCTTGAGGAGATCAATTTGCACATTAACTTTTGAACCTGCAGGAAGATCCGAGCAGCGTTGCTGCCTCCGTGCCAGGGAGCAGGGGTGCAGCAGGTACCATACAGCCCCAGGCGGGCAGCGGCAGCCCCTGACGTGCCCTACGCCCCAGGACGGCCTGTCCCGAGGAGCCTCCAAGAGCTGATCTCTCACCCCAGAGGGAGATGTTAAGCCCAGCCTGCTGCCACCGCCTGCTCCAGGGCTGCTCCCAGCCAGGGCCACAGGCATTTCCTCACTCAGACGCCTGCCAAGCCCCACGGAGGGCTCCGGTTATCAGCTGTCAGAGGCCCCCGTGGGGGCTGCTCCGAGCTGCCGGGCCCATCCGTACCGCAGCAGCTCCTCGCCCGGGGCCGCCGGCACCCAGAGCCCCTGCCAGGGCCCGGAGC